TCTTCAAATATAAATAAACATCTCGTTGATATTTTCAGTAGTAAATGGTACCAATAACAGCACATTTGAGCAATGCAATTGTAGTGGATAAAATGGTCAATTTTTCCGTGCAGTACTGTACGGATTATACGCTCCTCGCCGGTTAAGAGTTCGGCCGAGAGTTGTCTCCTTCCTTTTCTGGCCTAGTGCTGTTCTTTTCTATTTTGCGCCGGTCAAATTGAAGGTCACATCGCTACAGAAAGTAAACGAAGATTTTTCAAATGATAATGTCGCCCTTGATGATTGCGTATAATAGAATATCCCTATGCTCGATTATCAACTCATATGGAGCTTAAACTCTACAACAGCCTTCTTTTTGTCCATGCCAAAAAAGCTATCTCCATCCCTGTAGAAGACGCACGCGTTATTATCTTCAGTTTATTGATATTTCATTATTATTCTTTTTTTTGAAATAATGACATTATGAGACAACAATAACCAATTAAATTGAGTGTTAGTCATAACACTATAGGACATTTTTTAATGAGTACTTAAATCATATTGTTATCAGTGAGCAATAAAAACGTGGACGGGTACGTACATACAAAAAACTCAAGAAGTTTAGACGTAGATAGGTACTAGTGGAATAGTTAAGATAACAATAATTGATCTAGTGGTTTTTAAACCACAAGTAGTTCTCTTATCTCAATAGCAATCAAGTCATCTCAGTAACGAAATAACTAATTGTTCACTAGTTTTAACTCATACAGTTTCGATTTTTACGTCAAGAAAAATGCTTCTATAATTTTTTGGTAAAAGGCATTCGTTCAAGAGTCACCTTGGGGGATTTCCTTGTACAAAGCACCTATTTCTGAAAAGTTCCAGTTTCATTCCTTCAAACGATGTCTAGACTCGAGACTACTGTTTTGAAGACATCATTACGTCACAAGCCTTTTATTTTGTCTTTTAGCCTATTTTCTTTGCAGGCAGTCAATGAGACGACAAACTGACGATGCAATTGTTTCTATAATACTGGATAATATAAAAGCAGTCGATTCACTATTCTTCAAATTTTTAAAGAATGTTCTCTATTGTGAAAATTCCCTCTCTGGCGTTCGGTTATTTAGTCTATTAGCACCAGGTTGTTAAATGATGACGTTAAACAATTGCTTAAATGGTTTGTAATTCTTTTTCTCAGCATTACGGTTAACATGGTTAATTCTAGTAATTTTTGGATATTTAGAACTGTACTTACTTAAGAATGTACGAAGGCAATGCCGAAAGTATACCTGAACTTTACTGTGAAGTGAAAATAGAAGTTGATAAAGGTCGAGTCCCCTTCAATAAAAAGAAGTCACTTTTATTCTCGCGAACGGGTAATTTAGAAATTCGAAAAAGATTGTTAAAGGTGTATGTTTGGAGCTGTACGGGTGCGAAACATGGACGGTGGATGCGGAGGAAAAAAAAGGTTAAAAGTGTTCGAAATGTGATGTTACATGCGAATGATGAGGGTACCGTGGATAGAGAAGGTTAGAAATGATGTGGTATTAGAAAGAATAGGTGAACAGAGGACTCTATGGAAGTCAATAAGAAATAGGCGAGATAGGCTGGTAGGACACCTTCTCAGACGTGAGGGGTTGGTCAGAGACATGTTAAAGGCAGGAACAAGGGTTAAAAGGAGTAGAGGTAGAACTAGATTAGATTACTATTCGGTTACTGCAAATAGTTAAGGATGTGGGACGTTCTAATTTTAGAGAAATGCGAAGATTAGCTCAGGATAGGAAACAATGGAGATGCTTGTCCATCCAGTCTTAAGATTGACGACCTTATAGTAATGATAATTGGCATAAATTGTTTAAAGATTAAAGAATGTGCTCATGCCAAAAACTTTGGAACATTGACATAATTTTGTGGAAAGAATTGCTCAAGCAAAATTTCAATATACCTAGATCAAATCTCTAGAATCGTATTTGCGGAATTAGCAACACTTTCAAGTTAAATCAAATTAAATTATTTTCCTATTGATCAATTTTGATAGGTTTCGTTTTATTTTTTTTTTTATTTACGTTTATGAGAGAAAAATTGTTGCTCTTTCCCACCGCATCAAGAAGGAGTTACCTTAATTCAATCAGTAACAAAAGGATTTGTAGAAAGCTATTTTATTATTACAATTACTATTTATGTACATTTGGAGAAAAATTACAAGTCTTTAACTCGGAAAATTCCAAAAGACAAATCCCAAACAATAACCCATAAGTGTAAACGAAACAATTGGATCGTGTGAAGATTCATTACAACCATCAGTGGGACATTCGCAAATAAAGCTTGACCCTTTATTCCATTCCGAACTGTAATAACACTTGTCGCCCTCGTCGTTATTATAGGCGCATTCCCTTACGATTACATCCTTCTCTTTCGGTAAGAAATAAACTAAAAATTGCAGAATCTAAAGATTACGACGTCCAAAACCTTTGAGCAACAATGTCAGATAGTTACTTTTGTAGGATACTTTTCTACAATACCGTTCCCTCGATGTACCCGTCTTTTCGGCACATTCCTTTAAGTACTTCATAGGATTTCCTACGCAATCTTTTTCCGTGTCGTCTCTGCACTGGTAACATTTGATACCAAAAACTTTAAAAAGAAGAGAATGCGTTAAAACATAATATTAAGTACAAGAAACATCTACATCTACACCTGACAGCAAAAGTTATAATACGTACCTACACCACGGACAAAAGTGAAGTTAAACGCAAAACAGTTTAACAGAAGTTCCGCATCCGCATCGTTCAATCAAAATGTAGTTTTAAGATACATAGTAATTAATGGAAATGCGAAAATTAACTAGAAAGAAGTAAAAGGATATGGATACAATCTATACTGGTTGATGACATGACCGTGGCTTTTTTGTCAGGCAAATCCAGCTAAAAAACTTTTGGATGTTTCATTCCTACCAGCCAGTAATGCTGGAGGCGGACAATCCCTGCGGACTACGCCGGAAGGTAGGGCGGAATGCCCTCTTCAGTCGTGGGAATGGATTGGTGGTGGTTCAAGTGAGAAAGATGAGACGGACGAAATGAAGACAGAAGAGAATGAAAGATTATCTGTGGAATATTACTGCCCCAGCATTTGCCTAAGTGATCCAAGGAAACCAGAGAAAAACTTGGACCTCTAGGTCATGCCGCTCGGTACAAATCCAGCTCCATCCTAGCAAATAACGTGGAGATTGGCATCTGTATCGATTAGCGTCACGCACGTTACAAAATTATCTTCTAATGAATACATTTGCAATTTCTTCGGATGGTGTCAATATTACAAAAAGAATAAGGTTTGATTCTAATTTTCTTTCAGTTTAAATCAACATCTTTTTGATCTTTTACCACAAGATCCTTGAAAATGTGATGGTACTCTATTTGATAATCTACGATTGATTTAGTTTGTTACAAAATTTGTTATTTCTTACCCCACTGTATCTGTAATAAAACTACCATTGTTATCAGAGTGTTGCCATGTCTAAGCCTCATTATACGACATGTCTGGAATTACAGAAAAGTCAATTTTATGCTTCTGTTGTCCCAAAAACAACTGACCCAAAGGGTGAGATTTCATTCTTTGTATCGTCAAAATGTAAACTATGTTTCACTCATCAAATAGTACAATAAAACATATGAAAAGTAAACTATAATAAAGTAAAATTATTCAGAAACGTTTGGTTGGATGAAATCTTTAGACTAAGGCGATGCAATGGATAAAATCATGAACACGATTTCCCTTGCGATACATTAATTAATTGAACTTATTTTTGAATTCACGCTGTCTGATTAATGACACTGTCATTTTTGGGTTAATCAGTCAAAAAACAAATGTACCTATCATTGGACATTTATTTATTTAGAATTGGTAGTATGTGTATTTAATTTTATTTAAGAAACATCCACCAAAAAAGTTTTGATAAAATCATTTGCTTAGCAATTTATTATTCTTATCAAATCCTTGATTAAATTTTATTTGGTCCATGTGATTTAGCGTATGCCTTAGTCGAGGCTAATAAAATGGATCAAAGAATCTGTATCAAATTTTGTGTGAAAAACAAAATTAAGTGCACGGACGCGTTCTAAATGTTGACTGTGGCATATGATGAAGTTACCTTGGACTGAAGCAACGTTTATCATTGGTACAAAATATTCAGGGGGCTGAAAAGATGTGAACGACAAATAGCGTGCTGGACGCCCGAACACGTCAACAACAGACGAAAACATTGATGAAGTGAAGAAAATAGTATTGACCAATCGTCAAATCACCATTAGAGAAGTTGCTAAGGACCTAAACATATCGATTGGTTCCTGCCATTCGATTTTTATCAATGATTTGGGCACCAGACGGGTCGCCGCGAAATTCGCACCAAAAATGTTCAATTTCGACCAAAAACCGCATCGCATTAACATTGCTAAGGAGCTGTTGGACTCTGTCCTGGACGACCCTGCTCCAGAGGGTCATAACTGGTGACGAATCATGGGTTTATGGTTATGACGTGAAAACCAAAACTCAATCATCCCAATGGAAGCTACCGCACGAACCAAGACCAAAAAAAGCGCACCAAATTGGGTCGAATGTGAAGATTTTACTTACAGTTTTCTTCGATTACACGAGCGTGGTGCATCATGGGTTCTTACCACAGGGTAGAACGGTCAATAAAGCATATTACCTACAAGTTATGCGCAATTTACGCCAAGCAGAAACGCCCGAATTTGTGGAAGAGCAAAATTGGCTTTTGCACCATGTTAACGCCCCTGCTCATACATCATTGATTGTGCGCGAATTTTTGGTCAAAAACAACAAACTAATAATGCCGCAGCCACCATATTCCCCAGATGTCACCTCATGTGACTTTTCTTGTTCCCGAAACTGAAAAGGCCCATGAAACGACGCTTGAGGAAATAAAGACGGCATCGAAGGAGAAGCTGAACAAGATCTCAAAAAAATGATTTTTTGAAGTGCTTCGAGGATTGGGGAAAACGTTGGCACAAGTGTATAATATCTGGTGGGGATTAATTTGAAGGGGACGAAATAGATAGTCATGAATAAATAATTTTTGAAAGAACTTAAAATTCGCATACTTTTTGAACAGAACTCGTACAGCAATAAACGTTGGCACAAGTGTATAACATCTGGTGGGGATTAATTTGAAGGGGACAAAATAGATAGTCATGAATAAATAAATAATTTTTGAAAAAACAGAAAATTCGCGATTATTTTTGAACATACCTCTCATTAGCATGCCTATGGTTAACTAGCAATACTCATGGTATTTGACACATTATCACATATTAGAAAGCGTATAAGCAAATTTTTTTTTTATTTTTTCGGTATTTTGCAACTCTTCGTCTATTTTTAATGGCACTAGCTGCCACTGACCCCTACAAGACGATTTTATAGATGCCGTGCATTTTAATAAATCTTTTTCTTACATTTACAACTGTTCTCAAATTTTTGGCTTTTAGAAAACTGTGTTTCATACATGCTCCGTTTCTATGTCCAGTTTTAGACTATTTTTTTTAACCTAATTATGTATAACGCTCGCGAAGCCCATCCTTAACATAATCAGCGAAGGCCGGGCGTAATTTTAAATAACGGATACAACAAATTATTCAATTCTTCTTATTTATTAAATAATAGATACAGTGTCAGTGTTACTGAGAGTTACTTCACTTACAGGTTGTTATCATTCACCGATGAAGTGAGTCGGTTAAAACAATTCTCGACTGAAAGTCATTCTTTTCGTTTGTTTTTTATTACGTATTTAAGGAAACAGACCATTTTGTTTTCATCCTTCCGGTTCGAAACAGTGTTAGACAGCCTTTAGATCGTAAAATGGCCACGTAAACAAAATATAACAACAACTACAATATACTAATTGTAAGCAACTATAAACGACGATAACTTGTGGAGAAACTTTATTTAACAGTATTTCAATCTGATGAATTTTAGAGTAGGTTGCTTACCCTTTTGGGATAATCCTGTGATGATTGTTACAAAAATTATTATAGTCTTCTTCATATTCCTGATGTACTTAGAAATGGATCAATCTTACATTTCTTACTAAAAGTTTCACGAAAATGTAAGTATGTAATAGTTTAAATGTCCATTAAAAGGACTTATTCACGTTTTCTATTTCACTGACGTTCTTTTAGACACACGAAAAATTGTTTTAATAAATATTCAACAAGTGAAAATCCCGGTAGGAACTTGCACAACTGAAATGCTTCAAACAGAAAACTGGCGATCTTTCGAATGGTAATATGCTAAGTGATAATTAGATAAACATCTCAGCTATTATTTGGTGATAATTGCTTTATCATCACTACACAATCCACATCGTCCAAATTGATGCTAATTTGTGTTGCATTAGCAACAAATTGTTATCTAATTGTGATTGTCTAACGTTACATATCGGTTCTGAACAGAAAAATATCGATCACACCTGCTTCACGTCACACATCACGAGACGAGGGTTAAACGATTCTCTTTAACTTTATGAAGGGTGTGTCGGGTTCACATAAATTAGCAAAGGCATACGTGTATCTTTATGAGAAAAAAATTGGTAGTTGAACAATTATTCAATGTGCGAGCTTCCTTAATTGTAATTTTATTGGTGACGCCATCTATTAATGCATTCCTACACGTCATTGAGGTAGTACGGTATCAAATTTAACAGATGGCGTATGGCACACATCCTTTAGTTTTGGCTTAAGGTAAAATTTTGTAAGGAAATATGTAGGACCGAGCTAATGTGGCTGACCCACCTTAAATATTAGTCCAATGTGATGTAAAATTTAAACCTCAAATAATCCAAGGTTGTTTGCTTAAAATAATGCAACAATATTTATTACTTTGCCCAAATAGAAGTATTAGTACGAATTTTCCTGTACCACGTCGTATACTTCAATTAGTTTCTCTAGCGATGTGCCCCTTCCAATGTCTTGCATGCGCACTGGCAAAATCGTAGGTAGGGAGAAAAAAGCTCATTATAATCTCGACTCTTGTTCATTAAACATAATTTTTCATACAGTACCTGCCAAAAGTTTAGTTCAATCATGAATAGTAGTGCGAGTGGAAAACAAGCGTTAAAGCATTTAATATGTCTTCAAATATAAATAAACATGTCGTTGATATTTTCAGTAGTAAATGGTACCAATAACAGCACATTTGAGCAATGCAATTGTACTGGATAAAATGGTCAATTTTTTCGTGCGGTACTGTACGGATTATACGCTCCTCGCCGGTTAAGAGTTCGGCCGAGAATTGTCTCCTTCCTTTTCTGGCCTAGTGCTGTTCTTTTCTATTTTGCGCCGGTCAAATTGAAGGTCACATCGCTACAGAAAGTAAACGAAGATTTTTCAAATGATAATGTCGCCCTTGATGATTGCGTATAATAGAATATCCCTATGCTCGATTATCAACTCATATGGAGCTTAAACTCTACAACAGCCTTCTTTTTGTCCATGCCAAAAAAACTAGCTCCGTCCCTGTGGAAAACGCACGCGTTACTTATCTTCAGTTTATTGATATTTACATTATTATTCTTTTTTTTGAAATAATTACTTTATGAGACAACAATAACCAATTAAATTGAGTGTTAGTCATAACACTATAGGACATTTTTTAATGAGTACTTAAACCATATTGTTATCAGTAAGCAATAAAAACGTAGACTGGTACGTACATACAAAAAACTCAAGAAGTTTAGACGTAGATAGGTACTAGTGGAATAGTTAAGATAACAATAATTGATCTAGTGGTTTTTAAACCACAAGTAGTTCTCTTATCTCAATAGCAATCAAGTCATCTCAGTAACGAAATAACTAATTGTTCACTAGTTTTAACTCATACAGTTTCGATTTTTACGTCAAGAAAAATGCTTCTATAATTTTTTGGTAAAAGGCATTCGTTCAAGAGTCACCTTGGGGGATTTCCTTGTACAAAGCACCTATTTCTGAAAAGTTCCAGTTTCATTCCTTCAAACGATGTCTAGACTCGAGACTACTGTTTTGAAGACATCATTACGTCACAAGCCTTTTATTTTGTCTTTTAGCCTATTTTCTTTGCAGGCAGTCAATGAGACGACAAACTGACGATGCAATTGTTTCTATAATACTGGATAATATAAAAGCAGTCGATTCACTATTCTTCAAATTTTTAAAGAATGTTCTCTATTGTGAAAATTCCCTCTCTGGCGTTCGGTTATTTAGTCTATTAGCACCAGGTTGTTAAATGATGACGTTAAACAATTGCTTAAATGGTTTGTAATTCTTTTTCTCAGCATTACGGTTAACACGGTTAATTCTAGTAATTTTTGGATATTTAGAACTGTACTTACTTAAGAATGTACGAAGGCAATGCCGAAAGTGTGCCTGAACTTTACTGCGAAGTAAAAATAGAAGATGAAAAATGTTTTAAAATTAGAAGAAGTGTCTGACTTTCGGTATCTAGCAAGTCAGATAAATCAGGACGGAAGGACTAGTAGGGATATAAAGCAGAGGATAGCGCAGGGTCGAGTCGTCTTCAATAAAAGGAAGTCACTTTTATTCTCGCGAACGGGTAATTTAGAAATTCGAGAAAGATTGTTAAAGATGTATGTTTGGAGCTGTACAGGTGCGAAACATGAACGGTGGGTACGGAGGAAAAAAGGTTAAAGGTTAAAAGTGTTCGAAATGTGACGTTACAAGCGAATGATGAGGATACCATGGATAGAGAAGGTTAGAAACGATGTGATATTAGAAAGAATAGGTGAACAGAGGACTCTATGGAAGTCAGTAAGGAATAGGCGAGATAGGCTGGTAGGACACCTTCTCAGGCGTGAGGGATTAGTCAGAGACATGTTAAAGGCAGGAACAAGGGTTAAAAGGAGTAGAGGTAGAACTAGATTAGATTACTATTCGGTTACTGCAAATAGTTAAGGATGTGGGACGTTCTAATTTTAGAAAAATGCGATGATTAGCTCAGGATAGGAAAGACTGGAGCTGCGTGTCCAACAGTCATTTATTTGATTGAAAATGTGGAAATTATTTAACACTTACGTGTGGAATTTGTTTGTGTATTAACAAAAAGTTCTCCTTTGCTGCATTGTCTTTGAGATGTACCTTATAAACTTTGTAATTTTCATAACTGACCTTGTAAGATAAAACTGTATAAATTAGAATGCTTAAAACATACAACAACCTCATAGTGCTCCGCGGAAAAACAAAAAAAAAATAAATTTTGATTGTCTAGCTTGGTTTCTTCACACACAATGCAGACACAAATTTTCAGTTTTTATGTACTAATAATGGGCTACTAATTAGACAGAGTAACCGGCATCGAAGTGATTCGATAAGGGAATGTTGTAATATATATATCTATACATATTACATATAAAAAAATTGAAGTGGATATTTCCTAGCTATATTGTTTAAAATAATTAATCAAATGATAATCCCTTAACAAAGGAATATCTGAAATGTTGGTGAGATGAGGCACACGTGCGTATTTTTTTAAATTATTTATTATAGACGAATTAACACGCATTTACAGTTTTATTTCCCGTATCAACAATAGCAACAGGTACTCGAATATAAAATTATGTAATTTTGGATAGTAGCCTAATGTTGAATACTGTGTTATCTCAAAGTCCGTTAATGGGGTTTTATAAATTAACACACAAAACAAAAGGTCTTAAACATAAAGTGATCTTGTGTAAAGCATACAGTTCAACTATTCACTAGTAAATTGCCCATACAATTATAAATTCATTTGTGACATAGGATTTTTTGTTTCTCCGCTTTCAGACTGTTACAAAAGGGTAAATAATTACCTTAGGGTAGAGTAATTTTGCACGTCAGATATTCTAGAATAGTTTTAGAATGTGGCTAAACGATTGAAACAAAAATTACTATCATGGATTTTTTGTTTCAATCACATGACCTGAAACATAAATATAAAAAAACTAATTTGGGATAGGAAGGATACCCTAAAATTAGATATCCAAAATTAAAAATCCGGTTTTCGTGCTTAGCGATAGAACATTGTCTAGTAATGACAAAAATTAAGTTTACGTCTGTGGTTTTTGTGTTGCGTTCCTACTTTTGGATGGCTGGATGTCGCAGAGGAGTTGCCAAACGCCTTTAACAAAAGAATTCAACATCTTCCACAAAATCGTCCCTCCTATGCAGAACCTATGTAATCGAGAGTGCACCTCATTGATGTAATCATCCTCAAACTCGTGTTGAACTGGATCAACAAGGTGGACAGGATGTCTAACTATGGATATCTATGACTCTCCGTCACCACTCCCTATCTAATGGTGCAACAGAAGTGTCATAACGGGAACAGAAGTAAATAGTAAATTTTTGCGAAAGCGGAAACAGAAGCGGATACGGAAGCGGAAGTGTAATGTTTTAGATATGATTCTGTAATGCAGTGGTCGTGCGCCCTTTTTGCGAATATTTTTTACAGATTTTATATTTGACACTTGCATCGTTATTATCAACAAAAAAAATTGGCAGTTATAGAGACTGCCGATAGAAGTGAAAACTTAAAACTTTTAGTATTAAAATTTGAAATTTCCCAATGTTTGAATAAAAATTATCAACATCAATCTGGTTTTCACATCTATTGACACTCCGAGCAACAATTATATG